TCCAGCCAATACAAATATAATGATAGTTTGTTATTTATTGAGATCACATTTATTGTGGCATAGGAATTGTGGTGAATTGCCATCGAGTAAAGACTATCGGTCTTTAAATAATCTTTCTCAATATAGATTATATAATCATTTTAATAATAAACAATATAAATGCGATGACTTTTGGCTAGTAGATACATTCCATTGCAAGAACGTCTGATTCCGGAATGATAAATATACTTGGTTTTCGTAAATATATAACACTAAAATGCCGACATATTTTGGTTGAATTTAGATATAGATTTAATCATTCAAATAAAAAAATGCATGTGTACACTGCTTTGATATTTATGATGTTTAGTGTACGTAGAACTGATGATTGTCTTACGTGGCTAGAATATATAAGTACGTTATAGTGTAACATGCACAATATTCACAGACTATCGCCTGTTATCATTATTAAAAAAAGCGTCAATTAATGTATGGTGTAGTAGTTTTTTGTAACATGTTATGCGTTTCCGTGTACACAATATCTGAGGACTTACACAAAGATTCGCGCTGTATAGTGGCTAAGGTACGCACGTATGGGAAATAAATAAAACCGATTCAGTCGTGTTTATTTCAGAACACAATGCATCCGCAGAAAAGAAGCGCACATGCCTGAATGTACTCAATACTTGATGTATGTTGGCACACAATTGTTACAACAGCTCAATATTAGCCGACTTACGTTTTAAGTTATAATGTTTTGTTGGTATTTTTAGTTGCATTAAAGTTATTGGCACGCATGTAACGTGTAGAAATATACACTCAATACAAAGAATGAACACAGGTGTACTTGAACAACTAATATAACTAACATAGTCGGTGACGCTTGAATAACGTCAGCTTATTCCTGTCTTACATGATTTACATTGATATACACCGTGCTGTGTGGCAGTGAGTCGACATTTCGTTAACTACATGCAGTAAATTCTAACACTTTCCATTTATAGTCGACATTTATGACTGGTGAGACTACATCACCCAGTAAGAGCAGTATATATCGATGGATAGAATAATATATTAATGAATTGTCGCCAGTATTCTGTCATATATTGGTAATTTATCGGTTTTGATAATAAAATATTATATGAAACGTCATTCGACTAGTGAACGAATCGTTCGAGCAGATTAAACAAAATGAACTATATAACAACGACCCGTCTCGCAATCGTAATTTGCTATTCGAGGAGACAGCTTTATAAATTACAAAATTGTATACCATAAATCATTATGACATTTGTTTGCATTTTCTGTCAGCCTTTTGTGGCATCACTACATTGTATTGCTAAAGAACATCACCCATAGGTGTAGAGTACGCCTATTACATATCAAATGATTGTTATTTTTGAGAATTGCGTTTATATCTGTTGTTAAAGTAAAGATACCTGCGTACCACCGTAACTATAACGGTGTGCGCACAATAAACACAACGGCTGAGAGTTTTGAGGAATGTTTTAATGTATATAATGTACACCTATATGTTTGCTGATACATTATATTTCTGCTTTTAATTACCATAATATAACTCACTAATTCACAAAATGACAACACTATGTTCGCCGAAAAGATGAACACTTTCTTATTGTTTGAAATACTCTCCGAGACATTCAAACAATAAATAAAGCCAGTTATTCAGCGTACATAGCCGCCATTAACACACATCAAGCGAAATTGACACTGTACGAATTCTTATATTATATATATCCAATTGGGCACGTATATGCGAATTTAGATTCGATGCGTGTCCAAGGTATAATCACGAGTTTACCATAATTTAATATAGAAAATGATTCAGACGACAGATGGATTGTGTGTAATGGATGTCCTTTTTTCACCATGTCTCAGATGACACCATAATCTAATTCGCCAATGACCCGTGACAACCTCGTTATGACACACATCACGGCAATACGATTTTCTGTTAACGGCCTGAATTTTATTATTTCTCAAAATCCCTTCATTCCGCATAATATACAAAATGATACAAGATGTCGTATCTGTGACATTCTTCAAATTGCCCACATTGTCTTTCATTACCAGCTGTCAGCATTTCACACATGCAGACGTCTCGAGTCAGCGAGGCAATTGCTGAATTTATTGTCGAATAACAAAGTGAGTCGATAGACAAGAACAAAACATGTGCAACCAACATATACTTGTGTCATACAGAATCAATTCAGTGTATGTTTAAACTAACAAAATCGTTGGTTATAGAGGAAGAAGTGTGGTTGAGTTTAGTATTCGAGTTGGATGATGGGAAATTTATTATATTATAGGGTTGCGAAGACCAATAAATTTGCCGTCTATCGCCAATGGAGGTGAAATAGGCATGATATTCATTTCAATCTTGACTGAGCGATTCAGTTATATCTGAGGAGATATAATGTGGTGTGTCCGTGAAGGCGACATCATGGTACACCTCGATCGGTACGCTGTACGTTGCGATCGAATGTACGCTGACAGCCTACCCACATCACCCGACCACGAAATTTCCCTTGTGCGTAGTCGTATCATCAGGTTATTGGGTATATTAAATTAACCAAGAGTAACGATTGTTGTAAATACAATAAGAAGACATACTCGCCTTAAAGACAGCAATGAGCAATATTACACGCCTAGCCCTGTAACCTATGGCGCCGAACACTACAAAGATTTTCGTTAATGTACTCATGTCATTGTACTATATGTGGCCTCTTGATCTCATCATCGGATCAACGATGATGCAAACCACATAATCTCGGAGCACATATGCCGAAGAGTGTGATGTACGTGGTCATACATTTCGGCGATATTTTGTTAATAACCTTATTATCATATATCTTTATCAGAGAAATAAAAACAATCTTCAACAACTGTTAGAAACGCGTTCAACGTCCGAACAATAACCCAAGAGAAATACAATATACTTGTTAAACGTTGGGTATTTGAAACCTTGAAACGAGTCTAAGGCATGTATGCAGTTGCGATAGCAACATGTTGGGCAGGTGCAAACAACCACGGGGCTTACGCCTTTTCCACGAATTGTCATTCAGTCAGAGATTTGGCAAATACATGCAATGTAGATTTCATTTCGCACACAATGGGAGTCTTTGCAGTTAGTGTGTCTGTATTGTTTGTGTTTGTGTGTGTAACTTGATGCATAGATGCTCTGCTAATGTGCAGATTTGGTTTAATCCATACATATTAATTCCATGCATATTAATTCCATACATATTAATTCCATGCATATTAATCCATACATATTAAATCCATGCATATTAATTCCATGAATATTAATTCATGCATATTAATTCCATGAATATTAATTTTCATGATAATTAACAAATTGTTAGCTGTTATTTTTCACTGATATCTGAAGAACCACTAATCGGATTTTGATGAAACGTGTTACATATATGCTCTGGGACAATGTGCCTCGTTTTGAATCAAAATCCATGCATAATAATTACCTAATTTTCATAATGATATCTTAAGTACTAATCATCACATTACAATAAAACCTGGTATGTTTTGGGTTAATATCCATGCATATTATTCATCTAATAATTAATACATTTAATAATTACATTTCAAAGAAACATGGTACATGGATGCCCTGGAATATTGCAAAGATATGATTAGTTTGTGCTAGGAATCCATGCAAATTAATTTGCATATGAATTAGTCCATTTTAAGCATTAACACTTGTTTCACAAGTGCAATTCAACAGATTTTAATGGTACATAGATGATCTGGGATAATGCACAAACCTAATGAGTTCTTAGTTGAGATCAATGTGATATGACTAATGTTTCAGATTACTATACATGGTCATATGACCTTATTAGTATGCATAACTATAATATCTCAAGTACTGTTGCAGATAGGGATATGCAACTGATGCTGTAATTTTGTTGATATATATGAATATATATGAATAAAATATCAGTTAATCTTATATTTTCATTATTTCATTAAATATTTATAATTGTTAAACCACAGCTACTTGGAACCACCCTGACCATTGCTTGCAGTTATATTTTTTAATGGCGTATTTTCTCTAATAGAAGCATATGTGCTAACTGTAAACAAAATAGTAAATACAGTATTCTTATTTTTTACTTCATGTCTTCAATACCTTCGAGCAAACGTTCTTTCTAAGATTCATTTGATCTCATTAAATTTCTAAAGTTCTAATTTTTTTCGACATCTACACAAGCCATACGTTTGTCACATTGTCGCGTCACTACTGTGGGGTGCATAATTGTTTTCTCATAGTAAACAATGACGTCATGCACTAATGGTCATATTTGAGTAATGTAATCCACAGTTATCGACAAATGAAAATTGGTTTTAATCCTATATGTATATTAAAAGCAGCTTTATACGCTGAAATTTATCTTCTTGCATAATTGTCACCCAACACAGTCTTGTAAAGTAGCTTGTTCTGAGCCAAGCTGCAGTTTATTATAATCTATCGTGCCAGAACATTTTTCTGCAGGGATGACGTCATAACATTCACTGGTATTGGCAATGCTATAATACCAATTACTTGTATTCATAAAATACTCAATAAACGATAATAAATACATAAACGATATAAAATACACGTACATAGTCATCATAGACAGATATGTGTTCTGAAAATAAACACGTTTCCACCATGCATTTTTATATTCATATTCGGTATCCGCGATTTCAAACAGCAGGGCACTGTGAATGACGTACACAGCCGATGGTGTGATTACCCTTGAAAAAAATGGAAGATCCCTTTCTGCGAGGTGTGTGATGTGCATCTAAAACGTGATCATTGGTCACACGACTTCAGTAGGCAGCAACGCTCCGTTAAACACATTTTCCGTGATTGTTTCTAGTTGATACATCGGCATAAACTGGGCGTGCATGTAGCACACTCTGACCAGATTCACTAAAATCAAACCTAACTTTATATTGATATTTAGCCTGGAATTGCTAACATCTTGATAACCATGGCGGAACTGGATCCCGATATGTACCCGAACATGGACGATATATGGCATATTGATAAAGCTGATAAAGATGACGTTGCTCCGAGTGCAAAGACAGTCTCGATTGTGTTGCTATATCTAGTCGTGCTCTTACTAGGCGTTGCAGGTAAGATTGTGAAGCGATTAATAATAGTCATTGATACACGTTATATCGAATGTGTTTCAAGTTAGAACCTTGATTCAAAATGCAAAATACAAATTCTCCAGAATAATAATATACCGACGACGATTGCAGATAAGTGCAATATTTCAAAACTAAGACTGAAGCGTTATATATACATTGTTAGTAGTTATTCACCGTGTCTAAAAGGTTCCATTTGTCGGCACAATTAAATGACTAGCATACCGCTTAAAACGTGGCACGGGTGGTCCATCACGAATGAAGCATCTTTAGTCCCCGGGTGTCTGGGTTATACAATACAGACAAGTTAAGTATCATGTTAAGCACCTGCAACAGTCGTGATATACATGAATCAATGCAAGATAATTTGGTAGTGGGTAAACGGGGAACCTACATTCTACATATCAAATATATTTCATGGTATCTTGCCGTTTTTATGTACATCACAAACTTAGATAAATGCTAGCCCCGCTCCAAATAGAGCATGTTAAATGATATCCTAGGCCCACTTTGACATTTACATACTCAAAAAGGTGAACAATTCTATGAACGCAGTGTTTGATCATCCATATTACTTTCATTAACTCATTGATTTCACGTTAACTGCCAAAAATGTATCGCTTATGCAATGTCAAAAACAGCCGCTGGAATTCATGAAATATATTAGGTATTAATTCGTACTTCTTAAAAATATAAATAAACATGTGTTTTGAAAATTCATTTAACATAGAAGCACGTTTAATTTTAACGACAGCTTTTCTGTGTTGTATAAATATGACTACTGGAACGGCATTTTATTTTAAGGTATTCACTGGAAGGCCGAAAAATCTAAATAGACATGGCCATCGAGATGTAAAATAGCACTTAAACGTAATTGACATACACTTTAGTTTTACTGCCATAGATGAATCACACTTTCCAGTTGCCTGGTTTCAGTAAAGTGATTTCATTAATAGTGAAGTGGAAGAATGTCAGAGAAGAACGACTTTTTATTAAATTCAGCCAATCTTCTAATTACTCATCGAAAAATGTCAACTCGAACCTGTATCACTTGTCTGTATCTCACGTGCGATAATAACCTGAGTCGATTAAAAAGTATTATTACAATCTTTTGCGACCGTACAACGTTCCATCAGCAAAGAGTAGACCTGCAAATAAACAAGCTAAACAAATATCAGACTTAAGTTCCAATTTTGTCACTTGTCAACACCCGCATACATACAATAACAATTTCCATTTACATTGGCGTTTTACCTCTACTGCGACAGACGGGTAAACATTTCCACTTGACTGAATCGATTCGAGTGGTTTCATTAGTAATAGTGGAGTTGATGAATATCAGGGAAGAACGTTTTATTAAATTCCAACAATCTTCTAATTAATAATCGAAAAAAAATAATCAATTCTAACATGTACACTTGTATCTATGTCTCACGTTTAAAAATAACCTGACTATATTGAATAGTTGTCTGAGATTGAAATGTGACATCACAACCCAATTCAGTGCGTACGTACGTACGACGTTTCAAATACAATGTGTAAGCATATTGAAAGAATATCTTAAACAAATAGATACCATTAGGATTAAATCCCATTTGTGTGAATTCAATCCAGAGCCGCATATATACAATATTAACCTCCATTTACGTTGTCATATCAAAATGCGCTTTTACTACGTAGTTCCCTGTAGAATAACATTTCACAAGATTGCTGTAAAACATATAACCATTTTAAGATAGACATGGAATTTCACTAATACTGATGGTTACATTATAATCATAAATCGGTTCTATTGAAAATTCCTAGATCACAATGTATATGTTTCTTTTCATGCGGCTTACTTACTGCATTAACATGCGGAAAATTAACGACCAGGTACCATCTATCGTTAGCAGCCTTCAACTGGGTGTTAAGCTCGTAATAAAGAATAAAGTAATATAAGTACCTTTATTTTTTTCACAATAGTAAATATATAGATTTCCTTAATGCATATAATTACCTGCCAGAAATGCATTTGATGAGAAACAATTTTAGATTGTATAATACAATTTGAAGTCCAAAAACAAGACTATTACGCCTACTAGAAATATCCGAAAAAATCGCAAAGCAAAAATTATGTATATCACCCTATATTACCTGAGTGTGCACTTATGAAACTTACAAATTCGGTGGTAAATGCATGTACCATACACCAAATTAAATATTGGCTTCTCTATTTATCAGAAACTGCTGTTACGATATTATTAGTCTACTAGTTTAAATTAACATTATTGTATAAAACTATTCATCACAGTCTATCATTTGTGAGACTAGTGGATTTATACAATGTCAGCCTAATTGCGCTATCATGGTATTGGGCACCCCTTCGATTACGTAAATTGCAGTAAATTACCGTTTCAATCATTTATCTACTATTGCTTAACAAGTAAAACATCCATTTTCTTTATTTACAATTTACAGGCAATGCATTGGTAGCATCGGTTGTCGTATTGAACGAGCACATGCGAAGTGTAACCAACATGTTCATTGCTCAAATTGCTCTTGGTGACATTATAATGCTGCTCCTGGCCATGCCGTTTGACATCATCAGTAAATACGTGTATGAAGTAAGTTATTGTTTTTCTTCATTTATGAAAACCTTCTTTATTATATCATGCGATACCATTATCGTTTAGGATTACAACAAGCATTCTTCACCGAAAGAGCTACACTGTCGGTGATACCATTATTAATACATTCTAGGTAACCTCATTTCGATGATCAAATGTCAATAAAACACATGTAATGTGACGTTGATGAATGTCACGTTTAACTCAACATCGCAAATATATTTTGCTCAACGTCAAATACTCTATGTGCTCTATTTATCCTATATAACCAGGTGTTTGGTTTCTTGCACACAGGATTGGAGTTTTGGCTCTTCATTTTGCCGGAGTATGTCTTTCTTTAAGGACTATTCGTTAGCCGTTACAATATTCACTCTGACAGCCATGAGTATTGATAGGTGAGTATCATAATGCTTTATGACATTTGCTGAATTCATTACTCAGACCATCCGTTATATTAGTAATTATGTACACTCGACTGTCATTGCTGATGACGTAATGGTATTATATAATGTCATGTCAAGTGATGCAAAAGAGTTAAATTTGTGTTCAATTAAATTCAGTTAGTCAGCATCATTGCATCATGCGAGATTTGTTGCATTTTACGAGATTAATAGTGGTAAGGTTTTTGCTTCTCTTCCGTTTTTAGACTTCTCACCCTCTCCCGTGCAATGAGGCCATACAGCATTCGCACCATGAAGAAGTTCTTCACAGTAGCTGTCATCATTCAATTGCTCTCATTGTCTGCAGCTATTCCATCGACTATCTTGAGTGACGTGTGGCGCGAACTCGCTTATGGACATTCAAATGTCAACGCCGTGAATGCGTCATCCACACGTGTTTGTAAAGTGAGTGCGAGATCTTCGAAATTGCTAATAGTTTCTGTTTATCGTCTACTCTTCTTATACTTTCTGCCTCTTGGAATTATCGCCGTCTCGTTCACGAAGATTAAATCTTTTCTCAGATCGACGGAGGCCAAAATGTTGCTGTCTTCAAATCAAAAGATCATGGTAGCCTGCAAACGGGCGCTAAAATTACTGCTCACTTTAGTCGGGTTGTATGCTGCTTTGCTACTACCAACCGTTGTTGATACCATAGTCCTGTTCTTAGGTAGCGATGGGTCATCATATTATAATAGTAAATGGTATTCACTGTATGGATTTCTCATGGATACTGCATTGTATGGTATCTGTGTATATAAGCCTGTCGTTTACGCCATCATGAGTGCAAATTTTCGACGTGGGTTCCGTGAGCTGACGTGTTGTGTGAAGGGAGGATCAGAAAAAAGTATCTTCGACAGCCTCGATGACACCTCGACACTGGATACCGATGAAGTATGGTTCAACAGTGATGGCAGCAAAAGTAGCGTACAACACGATGTGGGTGACAAAGTGTAATATGTTGGATTTTAGAATAAAAAATAGAACATACAATGACTATCGTGTAATATATGGAGGTAATCCTCTTGACGTATTTAGTCATACATCGACACGCTGTATCTTCTGTCATTGCATGCTTACGAAAAAATATATACTTTCTAGACTGTGTAACCAGATGAGTGGAATATGTCACGTTGCAACTATTGTGCATCCGCCAAAAAGTGTAGAATATGGGTGCATGTAGCAAAAGAACATTACTAATGCATTTGTGGTTATTGATCAGGCACGTTATATCATTCACTGGTCTACAAGCGCATCGTAATTTTAATGTGTTTTTTATGTTAATGGCAAGAATTTACTTCAATGATAATCAATGCAAAATGACTGCTTTACTACCTAGAATCAAAAATAATTATGTATATTCAAAACTGAATCACAAAAATATATACTACATCTGTGAAAACGTGGCTGAAGGTAAATTTAATATATGCTACACAATGTGTCCAAACATGCAGGGTTGATTTGAAACTGCCTCATCCAAAATGTTATACCCATATATGCATATGTATATGCGACTAGCTTCAATGTACTCACTGTTTATAATGCAACCGTGCAGCCGAGTCTTTGTAGTATGCTTCAGTGGTCTTCAAAAAATCCATACCTGTGAAAAGTAATTATCGTAATCTTATCGCCTATGTGTGCATTTTGGCAGGACGCTGTATGATTTTATCAGTAAGCGAACGCTGTAGACAATCAGTGATAGATGATTGAAATTTCTCGTTTGAATTTGTCTATATATGACAGTGATTAGTAAACTGCGATGTGTATCTATTTACTTACACTGTAATTGACAGATATGGCCTTATCACGTCGGCGGTGAATCCTCGAAGAATTTCATCAAAGTGTATTTTAGATAAAGACATAAATATTAAAATTTAATTACTAGTATACTAGTTCAAATGTCGATCTAGTAAAATACGATATAAAAGAGTAATTGACTATAATACAAGGTTTGCTGAATTATAATACCGGTACTGGTCATTGAATGATAATTATATGTATCTAATATAGAACGTAACGTATATTTGAAATGATAAAATAGAAAGCCAAACGCAAAAAAATGAGATAGCTATACAACAAAACAACATGGTTGGTTTTATTCTGCTAAGTCCGTATTATGTTGTGTTCATGTCCTGTGTTATTGATATCTGCGGCAGGGAAGTGGATTCCAAAGATTGCGTCTCACTATCACCTACGTTATGGGATCAAATTAACAACCTCGTGGCTGGAATATACAATATAATTCGTTATATCATATTAAACATTTGCTTAGAGTGTAGTCAAACACAATATTCTTGTGTTTGGGTTTATTTGTTAGATGGTGTACTGATTTGCATACAGAAACTTAATTATCTATTCATAAGTTTAAGACAATCGTTCTCAAAGTTGAATTGACCTTGCATGTGGGATGTTAGATAACGCCCTAATGTGTGTTTGGGGTCAACAAAATGCAAATTACACTACCCCCATTTGTTAGTACACTAAAACTAATAAAACTGACGTAAACAAATCAATATTAGTATACTAAAAAGTTAATGTGTGCCTTCATGTCGGTACCTTGCAGTTCTTAATTTATTTATTTATTTGGCGCTTGTCGTGGGATGTGTGTGAAGAAACATTTCAGCAATTAAATTGGCAGAAAGCTAAATAATCGAATCATATATTACAGAAAAGTCGAACAAATAAGATGATAAATAAGGATTCAGCAATGGGCGATCTTACTTGATTCAACACATTTAATAATTGCAACCTAATAATTACTACAGACAGGCCAAATCACGTTCTGTCTACGTTTATATTATGCAAGTCGTATATAAATAAATAAAAAAAATATTACTATTAACTGACAGCTTATTAAATATCCTCCACAAGATCGATAAAATTGAGCAACTATTGACATGTTACCTACATGAAATGTACCTTATTCATGAAGAACAGTTTACAAATTCCAATGAATGTAATGAATGTTCCTCCGTGTCATTATAATGGCAATTGACATGTAAGTTAACCTTCTTTTCACTAGAAAGTCATACGCGTGTCTAAAATTGAGTAAAAAGGGTCGACGGGGGAAATGCGAAATTGATTTCCGCTCAAGCAAAGGAAAAGCTACGAGTAATTACTGTTGTGTGTAAATTTAAATGTTTTTCTAGAAAGAGAATAACCTAAGTTCAGTTTTTTTAATTGGTCCCCATACAAGGTTAAAATCGCCGTGGAACAGTGAAAAGCGTTGTCAGTATAAGACACCAGAAATCATTTGGCTTTTTGCCACATATACGACAAGTTTTTTTCAACGCTTAGATGTAATTGTTAGTTGAGACACATTCAGTGATTCATTGCAATAAATCAATTTTGGACGTAGTATACATGACATGTAATTAACAGTGCTATTTGGAAATGCTTTCCTGTCATTTAAATCACGGTCTGTTCAGTTTGGCTTCATGTGTGAATACAGGTATGCATGTAAGGGGTATACTTTTCCGAGTTCATTCTATATGTCTGGGTCTGTAGTACTTATGCAGAGATGTTTTAAGTGGTACTGCCTTTACCAGTTAGACCAAGACTTAACATCCATTCATTTATTTTTAAAAGATATAGTGTATATTTTGTTAAATATGACGATATTGTTACACAGAAGATGTCACGTGTATGTTGCATACCTTAAGGTTCTTACATGTATTTTTCAACGATGTTACCATTGTTTGTAATTTATATTTATAGTTGTATTGTGTGTTTTTTAACTTTTTATTTTCTTTGTGTGATTTTCCTTTAATTATATATGATTTAAAAGTTATTTCTACATACGGGCTTTCACACATAATGCTGAAAACATTGTAATGAGCCATGTGTATGATACTTTCTTTAAAATTGCTATTCACAATATCTATACAGTTTCACATGGAACTGAGCATGTTTGACGAAGTGGGAACAACAAATTCCCTTGTGAATATTTTGTGTGTGTAATTGCATTCAATTTAAACAGCTTGGGAAAATGTATGCTTCATTACCCGGCTTATGGTGAGTAAAAGACAGTTTGAACCCCCGGTGTTTCTCTTGAACCTTCTTTATTAGTATAATATGCACACTGATTGTCACGGATGTTTCATAAAACTTGAAATACATCACGAAACATTTAATGGCACGCGTTACCATTTCAAAGAAAGGTATTCAAATAATATTCAAGTCAAGTCATGGGTGTCATTAAATTGTTGTACTTAATAGGATAATAATGCGGTGCCTGGTGCCTTGAATGTTACTAAAATGTTAACAACTGTTGAAGTATTTTAATTTAAGTCATAAGACTATTCTCTGAGTAATGTAATGCTATGTCATTTATACCATAATGTTGACATACGAGTCCCCAGTTTGAGTCTCGAGTGTTTTTTTCATAACATTAGTTGCATTATTCCATAAATTTCCTATCAATAACCACTTTAATGACACATTTAAGTCGCCGTAATACACACTTTTCCAAAATCACTAGAACACTAATGTGTTGATAGCAAATACAGATTTGTATAATGCAATACACATGTTTTCAATTTAAACAGTGTGTTTTTAATTAAAACTGTTTGATCTCATGAAAAAACACGGAAGTGCTCCGAAGATTTACAGTGTACTTAATGCAAAGGGGAACTTTCACATATTCATTTTTGCTGCGCGTCTTTAAAAAATGTTGGTGTTATTTTAACATAAGTATGAACGTTGCACGTTACAACTGATGGTAATGAATTTGTGCCAACAAACTTCTTTCGTTGGATGCACAAACTATGAATAATATAGACCAAGATGATCGCCGGGCGGACATACATGCATATATATGTGCACACGAGACGCTTACTTAATGAATAGCAGATACAATGCTTCAGTATTACTGAAAAGAGTAGACTAAGGTGTCGACAATCAATGTTTGCAGTGGTTATTGACATTTTTATTTGTTACGCAGAATTGTGAGTCAGACAGTTGACCTCATCATTTTATATATAAAGTGTGCTCAATTGGAGTATGCAGGTGTGCTTCGACATATCAGCCACTCGTAATAAGCATTAGAATCGCGTTGCTTCCCGGCATTAAACATAATTTTCTAAGCAGATTTTATATGGATTACGTGTTTCGACTCGTAGAGCAATCACCTTGCTGATACATCCCATATAAATGATGCAATGTTTGCAAAAAAAGGCAATGCTTCAAATATTAACGATGTATTGTTAATAATGAGAACGACCGCAGATGGCAAATGTCGTGTATCAATAAACCTTAAGATGAAATCTTATCGCTTACGATGAATGTACTAGGACAACTAATTAATAGTTTGCAGCATAGTACGATAAATCAGTATTGTACTGTACAAAGGGTATATATTCAGCTAATTGTCACTGAAGGCGATATATATATAGCGCCGTAGGACGCACTGATTGAATTTCTAGACTTGATTTACTGAACTACGTGCTAAGTCAGCCCCGCAGTAGTTAACGTTGATAAAGTTGTTTTCAGATACTTAATTGTATGAGCATACATCAACCGATACAGTTATATCTCAAAATCTCAATAAAACTGGTAATCCGTGTGTGTACATCGTAAATCCGCGTAATTAAATTGTGATAAGTTGGTCATCAGGTGAATCAACGTAATTAAATGCTGTTTTTTTGTTTTAATATAATATAATTTAAAAAAAACAGAATTTATTCATTTTGCAATAAATTGTATTCCAATATAAAGATATTGATCTAAAAAAGGGGTCACCAGCCTTTTTTTCTAGAAATTGGTGGTTGTATTTTAGTAGAAAGTCGCCATTTTGACTCTATTATATCACTTTTACCACATGTTCCTATGGCAGAGATACTATGCAATATCTCAAAATCTAATCTGGTGACATAGGCTGAAAAAATCATATATTGTTAATGATGGAGTACTTTTTGTTGTTCTGAATTATTTAAAAAATCTGGGTTTCAAAAAGTGTC